CAGTGATTGACAGGTCTCTACCAGAGACGTATACGGCGTCTCTACGTTACTCCTCAGTCCAGATATGGTCACTTCCTGTTCACTGGTTGCAAAAACAACAACATGGCGACGGCTGTAATCAAAGGCTTCGAAACAAACCAATGAGTGACGCCACGATGACTACGTCCACTTCTTATAGACAGTCTGCGGTTTTTATCAGACAGGAAGAGACAGAACGAGTGAGAACATCCTGGTACTAAACACTCCGACATCGTAGAGAGAGATGTCACTTAACGACACTTTAGAGTGTGTCGTCTTTATAATAATGTATTTTCTTTCTTTCTTCAAAAGTTTTATGGCAAAATGAGACTTTCTTGATTTGCTAAATTACTTTTTTAAATTGATGAACATCATACGTGTAATTCGTGGCACAACTCTAACGGGATCAATAAAATATCTGTCTCTCTCCGTTGACTACCGTACATCTTGTTTTTGAAATACGGTCCCACGGTGGTCCACCGGGAGGAGAGGGACCACGCCGCTCTATGAGAGATATCCACCAATCACATCCCTCCTCCTCTCCTCCTCGGCTCTGTGTGCCGCTCAGCTTAAGTAGCAGCAGGATCAGAGCTGAAGGTCATGTAAATGTATTAAGTATTAAGCACTCAGCGGGGGAGACAATAAGCCGGAGCGTGGTAAAAACAACACGGCTCCGTTAGCGACGGGCCCGTCACTTCCCCTGCACCTGATGTCAGGCGTCCTCACCCCCCCAAACATAGAGAGCAAAGGGAAAAGGCGACCTCACCTTTCATCGGATCCTGCTCGGCTCGCATGATGTCGATCAGCGAGCTCTCCAGAGAGTGCATGTTCAGACTGTCGTACATCCTGGTGCGCTCCTGAAAAAGAACAGGTGTGAGGTTTTTATATCATCTGGCGTCAGAGATGACAAAACACAACGTCTGGGTTTTGCGTGTCCTCACGTTTCTGACACACTTTAGTTACTTGGCTGATTCATTTGAAAGCCTCTGAAGTGTTGGTATTTGGCTTAACGCGTAAGAGATTTAAGCGAGAGAGTAGCTCACGCTTGGATTAACATTCTTTCCGTATTTATTCACTTCAGGGGGTCGGTAGGACGGGTCGCCCAGGGATCTCTGGACTTGTTCCCAGAGAGAATGGAAACCAAAAAGCAGGAGTGGCATTCAGCGGCAGAGCTGAGATGGAGATGATGAGCTCATCAGCGGGCCGGTGAGATAGCTCTCCTTTAATGACTCCTATGGTAATATTCTGGTGACGAGATTATCCGATATAGTGGAGGGTAAAGGTCATTCTGTTATCCTCCTTTAATAACTCTTTACAAACGACAGTCTCTGATCACTGCAACCGTTTCTCTGGGAACAGCGTTGTTTTCATACATTGTACATATTGTGATGTTGTAATTCAATGTTTGAGACGTTATCTTCTGTCAACTTGCCTCCTGTCGCTGCCTCTTTGTTCAGGTTGTCATTGTACATGAGAACTGGTTAAATAAAGGTAAATAAATACGAGGTTGTTTAAAGGAATACTTGACCCACAAAGTGACCATCTGTGTATCAGTTCCTCTCCATGTGTTACCCCGAGAGAGGTCTTGATGGACTGAAGTAAATGGGGGCCGCATTTAAAAACAACCCAACTCTATCATCATCTTCACTCAGACCGCACTATTAAAACTCTTCCACATCAACAGTCGCTACTCGTCCGTGCACGTCAGGTGTTATTCAGCTTTTAGCAAAGATGCACGTTTGTGAAGCAGCGATGGCACGACTGGATGAACGAGACTTGCTCTGCACCGGTTGTGTGACACCTTATAAACCAATGTTTTGATGTAGTTCTGCTGTTGTTAAAGGCGACTCACTTCAATCCGTCAAGACTTCTCTGTGTTTTGATTCTTCGTCACCGTGGAGGCATGAGAGGAAAAGGTTTCTTTAAACATTCAAGGTAACGCAGGGTGAGGCACTGATATGCAGGCGGTCATTGTGAGGGTGAAGTCTTCCTTTAATATGTTTTTGCGTTGCTTCACCATTTGTTCGTTTAGTACAACAGTGGCAGTAGAGAGTAAAGGGCTGGTATAGCATAGAATGACAGTTTGCCAGTAACTTGACATCTAGATTTCATGCATTCCCTGTTGTAGAGATTGTGATAACAGGATCACTGATTAATCCTAAACAGGTTGCAAGACGTTCACAAAGAGACGGACTTCTCATTCTCAAGACCGGTTAAAGTTCCCAGAGGAGCATGAATCGCCACTGGTTCAGTGTTTGCACTGAACTAACCCTAAACTGTAACACTCAGAGAAGTCAAACACACGGCTGTTTGTGTCTCAATGTTAGGTGGATATTCTAACATGTTTCAGGGCGCTGATATGCAGCAGTACAAAGAAGTAACTATAAACTAGATTTGTGTAATTTAAAGGAATTTCCAGTAAGCGGTTTTACTACAAACACAAGACCGTCACTGACAGCAGACCGGCTCTCACCTCCCTCAGTGTGATACAACATGACACAGAAAGGAAGGAAGGAAGGAAGGAAGGAAGGAAGGAAAAGTCTTGGAATCAAAAGAATTCTGGATCCGACACTGTTTATGGAAATGACCAATCCGCGGAGTCGGGCCCGTTTCCTGGAATAGGAAGCGTTCTTCTTCTTGGCACTGATATCACTAATAATTTGAGCTCATGGCACCACCAACACCATCTGGTGACACCATTGTTTAGGTGGTGTCATTACTCTAGTCTGAATGAGTCAGAGAAATTTAATAATTTTCTCTTAGCAAGTCATGAAAATGAATTAATATAAATATAAGCGGACGCGCTACTTTAGTTTACAGTTGCATGAGGAACTGTGCTCTGTGATACATCCTCACTCCATAAAGAAATACTCCGTTCAGCGCAGACATGATTTGTTGATGCCCATGGAGTTTATTTTATTATGAATGATCTCTCATCACTCCAGACAGTTTTAAACTAAAGTTTACAAAAGTTTTAACCACAAATTGTTCATGTAACAATGCAAACAATGTAGTCACGTCTTTTGTCTGGTATGTATTGTACTCTATCTGTGTTTGTTGATGTGTGGACTTTAGCTTTTTTATTCTGTATTATTTTTTTCATTGCATGTCTGAAATATGTGTAACTTTTCAGCCTTCTTGGTCCTGTCACCATCTCAACAGGTTTTAAATGGTTAAATAAAAAGAGAGGACAGTGCAGTGTTCCTCAGCAGTAAAAGTCTTTTCCTCAAAGCTTGTTTTCATGTGAGAATTAAAACCTCATTTCAGTCCAACTACCAACACTGTAACAAGTAGAATGAGAAATGATGAACTAAAGATGAATTAAACACTGACACTGTGATCGTTCAGTAAATGATGTTGCATTGTGAATTAAAGACAGTAATCCAGTTAGAAGCCATATTGTAGCAATATGGACAGAATTTATTTTTCCTATATTTCTTTATACTTATATAAGAGCAACTGTAATGTACCATTTCCTCCCCGGGGATCAATGAAGCGTTTCTGATTGAGATATTATTTGTTCAAATGTTGACAAAAAGAATCCTAAATCTCCTCTACCAGACCAGTTTAATCAACAAACAGCCCAAATGGGCGGAAACCAGTCCGAAATAGATCTCACCTTCAACATGTCAGCCCCCGCTCTGTTACACCTTCAGTAAAAACCTGCAGAGCAAATCAGTTCCAACTCCTCCCACCTGATTGAAATGCTAACCACGCTGGCCCCTCTATGCCAATCCACATCAACACACCGCTATGTGCGTCTGAAGAATCTCTTTTCTTTCAGTTTCTCCGCTCATAAAAAATAATTCTCAAGGGACCTCCACACACACACACACACACACACACACACACGCACACACACCTGATTCAAATGACTGTGTACGCCTCTACTTCTGCTTATTTCCCACCTTCAGAGCGACGGCTTTCTCACACAGACTGTAGCGTGAAAAAGAAATAAACCCATTATCCCCCAAAGCCACCGATGCAAACCCAAAACACGTACCTGCAGGGGCAACAAGGTGTTGCTGTTGCTGTCTGTGCGAAACACGTTCTCCTCAATCCAGGACTTAGGCCCCAGTGATCCGGCGGAGCGTGGGAACTTGGGCGGCGCGATGATGTTGCTGGAGAAGGGCTTCTTCAGGGGCGAGACGTGATGACCGCCCGAGCCGGGTCCGCCCATGCTGCTCCCTCTGCGGTGGTCCCGGCCCCAGGACATCCCTCCGGAGCCCCAGCCGTTCCCCTGGTGACTGCCCCAGGGAGACTGCTTCACCACGGGCTGTGCACACACAGAGAGAGATGTGGAGAAAGATGGAGGGGGTTAAAAAAAAGGGGGCATGTGCATCTTTTTGTGCTTTACTTCCGCTTCATCCTATCCTGTCTTTCTATCCTTTCTTTTCTCCCGGTCAGCCAAGACTTGATCTGCTCCTGTAGATAAGAAGATTTAGGGCTTTAAGACTAATACTAAGTTAGCCGAGCGCTGCGACACCGACAGTGTAGCACTCTCTCTCTCCCTCTCCCTACCTGGACATTGTGTCCACTCTTCAGCATATCAAACATCCAATCGCATCGTGTTTATAATCCCACGCTGAGGACAATCAACTTCCTGTTTCTCACTTACTCAAAACATGATGTGATCAAAATGATTTTTGTCTCTTTTAACACGGCTACATATCACTTCCTCTCATACAAACACACGTACCCTACTTAATCCAATCTCTGTTCTTCAATTGATATCATATCGTCACATATATCCTTGTAACTGCAGCATGTTATTGTCTGTCCTCTGTGTGCACATGTCCCGTCTGTATTCTGTTGCGTTATTTCAACAGTAAAGAGGGATTCTGTTCTCTTTGTATCAACTGCAAACAGGTTTGGTAAGCTGTGCTTTAAGAATATGTTTGATTTATGATCTAAAATAAATCTGGATTAATGTAGATGCTGTTAAAGAAAAAGGAAACTCTGATGGACACGTTAAAAGTAGTTGTTTTACTAAATAAAGTATTTTAATAAACTCAATAATGATAAAACAACTATTTCCATATTATTATTTTGTTGTATATCATTAGTATACCGCTTGTTTATTAAAAATAATAATACGAAAACAACTATTTGATCTGCTGCATGCAAAGTGCTCATAATCAAAGCAAAGGTCAGAGAGCAACACGTTAACATAGGGCGGAACGTTCGGTTATTTTCTTTGTCGATTACTTTTCCTCGTCTATAAATAGGTGAAACATGACGATCAGTGTTTATAAAAGCTCAGACGACGTCCTCAAATCTCTTGTTTTGTCCACAACTCAAAGAAATTCAGTGTCTATGGTCACAGAGGAAAGAAAGCAGAAAACATTCACATTTGAAGAAGCTGGAATCAGAGCGATTCATTCATTTAATAGTCCACAACTAAAGCGCTACTTTAAAGCACACACACACACACACACACACACACACACACACACACACACACAC